AATATAATTTTCTTCAACTCAACGCAATTCTTATATTTCATTTAATATATTTAGGCATACTATTTTGTTAAATATTTAAAACAAAATTATTAAGAAAACTCATTTTATTCAATGAAATCTTATATATTCCAAAATAGAGTTGATTTCAATTTTGAAAATTAAATAAAAAAATTTTTCTTAATTCATCGAAAAATTAAAAAAAATATTTCAGTTTTTCTTTATTCTTTAAATAAATTGCATTCACAAGATTACAAAATTATTTACGTATTGTTCTCCAAATTAAATTTGAATTTGAATATTAAATAAAAAAAAAATTATTTTAAAAATATTGATGATATTCAAATTTTTGATTGCACATATTTTAAATTGAATTTTTGATAATATTTGAGTTAAAAATTAAACAGTAAGCAAAATTTATAGTTTACAATCTTTTATTATTTTTTTCTTTATTATTTCTGAATCTTATGAAATCTTGTTAAATAAAATTTATTTATGTGATTAAGATAAAATATAAATTCGAAATATTTGAATTATAAATTTAAAAAAAAATCACAATTTAATTAATTTTGTCTCATAAATTTTCTAAAATGGTTATAATAGGTGTATAATATATTTGTATAGTGACAACTTATACTATAAATTATTCTTATTTATGATTCTTAATATTTAAATACAATAATTAAATTTTAAAATCAATTAAATCTATAAATTTAAAAATAGGACTAACACTTTTAAATCAAATTCAAATTTATTAATAATTTACAGTAGACACATATTCAAGTATATTTGAGTAAGTATAGTACAAGAATATAGATTTTTGAATTTTATACAGTTTTTAAAGCAGTAAATTCATACGTACGTGAGGTTTTGTGAAAAATTAACATAATGAATGTATACAGAGCTGGATTTATTATGTATATATGGTATGAGAGCGTCCTGATAATGGAATTCTTGAAATAAAAAAAAAATATATCCAACAGCAAATGGCTCATCCTAAAAAAGTTTATGTCTAATCGAACAGTATTAACAATTTCTGGAACGAAATAATATTTTGAGCTTAATGAATTCAAAAATGTTATATAGTTTATGTATAAGAAATTTATTCTCGAAAAAGAGAATTTACCGTTAATCTGTATAATTTCTCCATGTTTAAACTTAAAGGTAGCCAATAAATTGAGAATAGTTTCCTTTTTTTACTTTTCATTTTGTAATACGAAATGTGAATTTTTGAATTGTACAGCTACTTGTGCAAGCGGGAATTTCCATATATGTAAACAGAGCCGTATCCCTTTGTAGTGAATTCTGCCCTGTTTGGTCGAACTGTAATGTATTTTACAAAATTGAATAATTCAAATAAAGCAATATTAATGTTCATTAAATTTATATAATTTAGACTTTCAATAAAATTTGTATTATACTTTGACCAAATTTCAAGATAAAATATTATTGTACAAGTATATAAATAGAAAATTACAAATATATAAATAAAATTGTGATTGATAATTATAGGTTAGAATTGTCATTACAAGAAATTAAGTTTCTAGTATTATTAATTTTTATTGTTATCATATTTTTCTTACTTATTTTTTTAATAAATTTACTTGGACATTTTTTAAATTCAAACTCGTAAATTAAATTATAATTCTTTAATAACAATATTTTATTTTTATGTAAGCAAATATTTTTCAAGTATTTACAATAATTATTCATTTTGTTTTTATTTTTTTGTATTTTTTATTGCTGTCATTTTGAAAACCTCAATTTTATTCGAATATATTTTATTATTTACAATAATGCCCTAAATAAAAATGTTTCAATATTAAAAATATATCATAAAATATTAATACTTGTGTAAAATAAAATTCATATGGTCGATTTCAGATTGTATGAATGTTGTCCCTTATATTGAAAGATGTTTAAGATTTTAAATTAGAATTTTAAGTGTATATACCTGAATTATCGAAAATTTTCATAAAATTTAATTTAAGATTTAATAGTAAGTAATACGTAATTTAAATAATTTACATTTGCAGTAAGTAAGTAATAATTTTAGTTTGATCTGACATAATATACACCTACTGCAATTTCAGAAGGTACAACTTTTACTTGCTTTCAAATCAAGACTCTCGTTTTATGCAACTCTTATATAAAAATATTATTATGATTCAATTTATGTGTTACTAAAAATTGCTTGCATTTTCAATATAGTACATTTATGTTTAAATACTTAATATATATTAATAATATGTTAGTACCTTATACCAAATCGATTTTTTACTGCATTCAATAATCAGGACATTAAATTTTTTATATAACATATACTTTTATTTTGTATATTTTATTTGTTCATTTTATTTTGTTATTGTTTTTGTATAATAACACAAAATATCTATAGATATTGTAATATATGTGAGCATAATGTGAACATATATATAATGTATGTATATATAAGCATTTTATTGTTTTTTTTTTTGCCTTAATATTTATTGATGAAACAACGACAAAATATTTCGATTATTTTTTATTTTCTTTTATATACATATTATTTAGTATTTTTCTTGCTGTTTTTTTTTTACCAATATATAGCCATAAATTTTACATTTCTGTTTACAAACCAAATGTGGGAAAATAAAATGAAAAAATAAAATATGTACACAAAAATAAAACGAAATCAACATAATAATAACAATAATTTTTCTCAGTGAATTGTAAATACCAAAAAAACCCTAATATTTATAGTGAATATTACATACATATATTCAATATACACATGTGCTTATATTTATAATATGTATCTATTATATGTATGTAATATTAGGTGAAAGGACAATTTCTTATGATATACATATATAAAGGAAAAATATAAGGAAAATAAATTCATAGAATATTTAATGGTAAACATTATGTTAATTAAAATAGAAGATTTAAATTTATATACACACATATGTGAATATAAATACATACATTTACGTCATACTTTTATATGATATATATATCATATTTATATGTGCATACTTTATTTACTTCTATATATGAATGAATATATTTGTATATGGTGCTAATAGCAAAGTAAATAAAATTTTACTTACAAGTTAACTTCTTCTTTATGTGATTTTTTAATATTGTAAACGTATAAATGGAAATATATATAGATTATTCAAGGAAGTTATTTCGATTTATTCTATGTACATACATTGTATTTTGGTTTTGAAAATAGTTTCTTTGTATATAAAAGAAATAAAACTGTTATACTTATGCAATATAGAAAATTGAAGGTAAATTATTACATTGATGTGTTAATTTAATTTTATACGGTATAAGGTGTATAAAAAAATTATTGGCTAGTGTATATTACAGTAAGTTATTGGAAGACATAGTATTTATAATATTTGTTCTATACTATATTATAGTATAGGTGATTAACAAGATTTTTGATTAATTTCAATTAAATTTGTTATACATAATTTTTAATAAAAACTTTAGAAAGAATCAATTACTCATGAATTGTTTTATGTACGTTGTTTTATAAGCAAGGCAATAGACTGCCGAAATCAATTATTTTATAATAATTTAATCTATATATTTATTTATATAACATACTGAAACAAATATTATTTTCAAATATGAATTTTGTTCTTTTGAAATATAAAATTAAAACTATTTAATCTATTTTTTGCAAAATTTTTTTTTAAAAATGTTATATAAATTTCATCATTTTCATTATCTATTTCATTAGAAATAATTTATTATATACATTATACAATTAAATTATATATATATAAACAAAATAAAAAAGAAACATCTTATCACGTATTGGTATATAGATAATTCCAATACAATTTTTGTTTTATTTTTTTTTAATAGAATTCAATTTTAAATTTAATTTTAAATGAAAATTTATTACTATATAATATAATGAAAAAATTTAATAAAAAGAAAAGTTTGTACATATACATATACTTAATTGAAAATAAAAATTTAACTAGAAATAATTACTAAAATTAATTTTATTAAAAGCTTTTATGGGAAATTTTTTTATACTAACATAACAAAATTAATTAATTATATTATGTAATATACCTAAATAAAAAATCATTTTTTTTTTTATTAAATTTTCCCTAACAATTGCATTCAAATACAATGTAATTATTTTTATATTGTACAATTATATAAGTTTTTAATATAATTACATATTATATACTTATAACAAATTATTACAAAAAATTATGTATCTTTAAATTTAATTTTTTCATAAAATATTAATTGAACAGAAAATATTTTAGATATCATTATAATAATATAAATTTATAAAATCTTAGGTAGAATTTATTTCTTGAACAAAAAAAAAATTTTCTTGCTGTGTATTTCTACTTTAAATATCTGAGAATATTTCTATTTTGCAAAATTTGAACCCCCTTCAGAAAATATAATTTAGTTTCTAAAAAATTTAATTAATTTTAACTATTAAATTAGCATTTTTGGAGACTGTAGAATATGGACATTTTATTGTAAAATTAATGTTACTTAAAAACTTCTTTTAAAATTATGTAATATTTTTTAAACATAAAAAGTTGGTTCTTGGAAATTAGTCAAAATTGAAAAGCTTAAATAACTTAATAACTTAATTGAACAATTGAAATAAAAACGTGAATAGAATTAAAAATTAAAATCTAAAATTTAACAAAAAAATTTAGTAAATCTTTAAGAGAAAAATATCATAAATAAAAAGCTTAAAAACTTAAACAGTAAAGACCTATGCATCCATTCTGAATTCACATTGAATGAAAACATTTTCTTTAATTAATGTAAAGAATATTTACTTAATATAGTTATAAATATAATATACATAATATAATTTAATATACATATTTCTAAATATATATACATACGTTGCTTATACATAATTCTAAATATATATATACATACATTGCTTATATCTATATTTAATATACAAAAAAAAAATTTACTTATTAACTTTTTATTTTTAATTTTCTTTACAGAAAGAAAAAAGGCCTAAAATTAAGGAAGTAAATGATAACTAAATTGCCGCCATAATATCAAATATAAGAATTCTATAAAAAAAAAGAAACGGAGGACATATTAATAATATAATTGTAATATAAAAGTTTGCGGAACTAATAATTTTTATTAATTTCAAAATAGTAAAAAAAAAAATAAAAATAAATATGCATTATTAAAAATTTATAAACAAAATAAATAAAACATAAAAATAAATATACTGCCCGTTACTAAACACATCAGAAAATATATAAAAAAAAAACAGAAAAACAAAATAATATTTCACATTTTCAAATCAAATTACAAAAAAATAAAGAAAATTTAATGAAAGATTAAATTATTCAATTAAATAAATATACTTTCTTACATATATGCATACATCTTTAAATAAATATTTAAAATAATTACATATTTACAAAATTCATAAAAGAAAATAGTTATTTTTTTTTTACTTTTAATTTTGTTTCTTCTATATATAAATATCCAATTATCAAATATCCAAAAGAGAATAGAGTTTATATTGCTTAATCGTGGACAACTTAATAAAAATTAATAATAATATTTATTCTACGAAATGGCTGGCACTTGTATTAAGGTAAGATTGGATTTTGTTTTTTTTTTTGTACAAATTTTGTTATATTGAAATTTTTATTAAAACATTTTTGGTTATTTTATACTTTGTATAAGTTTATGCTTATTATTTCCTTAGCAGCACATCAATAATCATATTCTAAATTTGATTGTCAATAAAATTCTGATTATTCGAGCTATTTTACGTTCGGGATTTCCGTATAATGAAATTTTCCATTATAATTAACAACAATATTATGCACCAATTCTTAATATGTTAATACAATATTAATACAACCAATAGCATCTCGTAAATTTTTAACTGTTATACTAAAAATAAAAAGATAATTTAATATTAGTTTACTTTGCTAATTATTTTTTTTTACAATAAATTCTAGAAAAAAAGAAATTTTGCTTATTCATATTATTTCCTTATATTATCCTATGTATTTACAATACAGGACCGCATTAATGATGTTGAATAATAACTTTTTGAGGCAATTTTGTTCCATATGAGAACTAAGAAATTTGTTTTAATGTTGATTACCTGAAAAATATAATATAAATTAAATATAATTTTAATGAAAAATATAATTTTTTTAATTATATACTTTTATTTAAAAATTTAATCAACAGTTCAGACTTAAAATTTTTAATTTAAAAACAATACTTTTATACATTTGTTAAAATTTCAATTGAATTTTTTCTGAAAAATCAATTATGATAGTAAAATACTATTCGAAATTAAAATCTGAAATTTGAAATATGTGATCAGAACACGATCTGAGTGGAAGCTATCGAATTCAGAAAAAATTGTTACAGCAGCTGGAAAGTAATTTGATTTATTTACGGTCGATTCGTGACTATTGAGCTCATTATAATTTATGAAATTTTATATGTAAATAACACCGTTACGAATATCCTAATGTTACCAAGATCAACTTTATCTATATTTCCGTTTTTTTTTTATTTTCAATTGTATTCAATAGTGAAGTTTTGTTTTAAATAAAATAGAAAAGTTTTTGTTTGAAAATTTCAAGAAAGTTTTTTAAGTTAAAAAATTTTACTTTAATTTCTATTAAATTTTTTTTTTTATTATTTTTGATTCATTTTGTTAAATTGTTTCAATAGTTTTTCAAGTGTTTTTTTTTATATTAATTTATTGAAAAGTTTTTTATTTTAAATAATTTTTGATTTTGTGAGTTTTATTTATTTAATTTTGATTTGCAATATTTCAACATAAAAAAAGTGTGTCGAATAAATCGATTTATACAATGAAATTCGTTGATTTTTTTTTATTTTAAAGTACGTATTCTTTTCTTTATATTATAAATTTTTAAGTAAATACTAATTACTAAAATAAAAATATTAAATAAAAATTATAGCTAGCCGTTCGTATGTCATGGCGGCAAATGCAAAAGCTTCGATGATCTCACCTCCATCATCATCATTATCAAACGGCCAGGATCCATCTGAACAATTGCCGCCACTACCACCTCCGCTGCGTTCAACACAAGCACTTCAACCATTGACGATTTTTCCAGGTAAATCAAAAATATTTTAATCTTTTCATTTATATCAGTTTATTTTTAGTTGTTTTTATGTTGTTTTACCATTAATGTATTTCCATTTTCATAACTTTTCATTTTAGAAAAAGAAAAGATTAATATACTTATATAAAAAAAATGAAAACCATTATAATTAATTAAATTTAATTATAAATTATTTATTATTATAAAAATAAATAAATTCATTCTTTTCTTTCTGTTCTGTTTTGCATCCAAATGTTTTTTTTTGTAATAATTTTTCAAAAAAAAAAATATTTCGCTAACTTTACATATACATAAAAATCTTCTGTAATTAATTTGGAAAAATTGTTTTGTTTTGAATTAAGTAAAAGAAAAACGCATCCCTATATATTGTATTTATTTTTAAAATAATGTACTTTATATACAAAGCAAAAATAAAAAAAAAAAAAATATTATTTATTTTGGAAAAATAATGATAAAATCACCATCCTCCATTTATTGTTGCTTCTTTGTTATATTGTTATAATATTGTCATCATCCTACATCATCCGGTAGAACAGTTTTAAAATTATATATATAAATAAAAGTTATTGTGAATGACTGTGAATTAAATTATTTTCTTTCTTTTTTTAACTAAAATTTTTATTTTCTGATTTTAAGTATAATATTTTTTTTTTATATTAATTGTAATTAAAATTAATTAATTTTTGGTTTTTTTTTTTGTTTAAATTTTTCTGATTTTAATTTTTAATCAAAAAAATTTTAATACAATGTTTTATAAATTCAAGTAAATGAGTATAATTAAAAAATATAATATTAAAATAAATATTTATTAAAATTTTCTCTACAATATATATTTGCTTAATTTGTTAGTTATTTGTGAGTTTTTTTTAAATATAATTAAATATGTTACCAATATATATGTACATCAAATTTGTATTAATGTGTATTTTAAGTATTAAAAATTAAAAACGATTTAAATGCTTTTAAATTCACAATTGCTTTATTGTGTATAAAAATAATATTGTAATTTTCATATTGTATGCATATGAAAATGTATTCAAAGTTTTAATACAATTCTCAGTATTGTACATTTATATACAGGGAAACCTCTGGATAAAGAGGAATTCTAATATAAAATCAATTTGAATTTTGTTACAAAATTTTATATGTAAAAATATTTCAAATGAATTCATATGAAATTTCGCTTTTCCAGCAAAAGTATTTTTCTTGTATATTAGTATAAGGGCTCTCAAAAATAAAAATTTCGCACAATTGTTAAAGACAATTTTGTCCAAAAGTCGAAAAATATAACAAATATTAAATACACTTTATTAAATAAGTACAACTTTTAGACTCGTACAGCGATTGTTTTTGTCAAAATCATGTAGAAATGTCGAAACATAATTAAATTGGTATTTAAATAAATACTTAAAATTTATGTACACAATTTGTCCCTTTAATAATACAAAATAAAATCATTTTTTAACATCAAATATAAATAATTTCATTAACATTTCATTAATTCAGACAGTCATTTTATAATTAAATATCATAAATAAAGTTAAATAACTTCCTCTCTATTATAAAATAAATATCAGTTTTCGAAATGGTCAATATAAAATAATTATCACAAATATATATATTTTTTATATATTTTTGAATAATTTTCTTTTGAAATGCATTTTCAACTTATTTTCACAAAATTTATATGCATTTTCAATACATATAATATAAATTTATATAATTTACAATATTATGATGCGATATAAATGTGTACGCAAAAATCAAGTCTTATGGTTTTAAATGAGTGCCAACACAAAAAAAAAGGATATATTATAAAGGATGCGTTATATTGCTTGTACATTTAATATTATTTTAAAGACTGAATATATTGATAACATATTTTATATATACATAAATTATTTTCATTTCGATTTACCATTCGAACCACAAAAAATAAAAAAATTACAATGACAACTGATAATTTCATTTTTATTTTTCTATTTATTCTTTTATTTTTTTTTTGGTATTTTTATTCTTCTGTTCTGATATTTCAATTTCAATTATTAAACTATATTTTAAAATTGTGTTGATATTTTTTTAATACTTTTAAAATAGTTTCTTTTTATAAATCTAAATGTCATCATATTATAAACTGGTGACAATTATCATATTATTCAATGTTAAAATTCATTTTAAAAACTATCATATATACTTATGTAATGTCATCCAGTACAAATGACATTTTGTATATAATATAAAATAAATATGTATTTAATTAATTTATATATAAATGAGGTGTTAAGTAGGTTTTACATATTTGTACACAATTATGTATGTTTTTTATTTCCACAAAATTTTGGTTTATTTTCTACTTTGTTTTTCCAATTTTTTTTTTACAAATTGTTTAATGAAAACCGTATTATACAAAAAGAAATAAGTTTTTTTTTTTTAATTTAGCATACATATTTTGATTTTGTCTTTTTCAATACAAAATTTAAAATATTATACAATATTTTTTTTTTTAATGCCATAAACGAATTGACAGTGATTGACAAAATAAAATAATTTTTCTTTTTATTTGTATACAAAATTGGTTTAATTTTGAAATTTAATTTTGTAAAATGTTAAATAATTAAAAGGATATTTTATTATATATATACACATATACGTATAAACAATGCAGGAAAATTATACATGACATGTATATTTAATTTTTGAATTGAAATATACAATAGAGTTTTTACGAAACTATAAATTTTTGCAAATTATATTTGAATAAATTACATTTATTTTGATTTTAAAGTACAATAGAATCAATATTGTGAAATAATGAAACATAAATAATTCGTATTATTCATAATTTTTCTATAAATTACAAATTTATTATAAACCTTAAATATTTCAACAATATTGTAATAGAAAGTATGTATAATTAATGTATAAAACTGATTTATACATTGCTTTAAATTCAACATTTTTTTAAGAATTTTTTAATTTTTTTTACTCTAAATTCTAAGACTCTATGCCTTTCAATTAGGAAATCATATCTAAATTAATTCATAATCTTAATTTTCATACACTAAAGTCTTTTTTTTTCATGCAATTTTCATAAATAATCTTATATAATTTTGCCTTATGTTTGTAGCATTTTTAACATGCATTGTATTAATTCTAAAAGAAATGTTTTTATTCCTTGATAATTTTTTCTAAAAAGAAAAAAAACTGTTTTATAATAAAAGATTTTTTTAATTCTTAACATAAATTCATATTTTATACATAATATTTACATGTAGGAAAAATAAATTTTCTAAATTAAATTATTTCTAATTCCATTCAATTCTAAATTCTGAATATAAAAGAAATTTAAGATTTTTTTTTTTATTAAGTTTAAAAGTTCTAAATCTGATTTAATATTATGTATATATAAAGTTATAATAATATAAAAAATTATATGAAATTTTTAGCAGGTAATTCAATTTTTAAAATTATTTTTAAAAATAACATGAGAAATTTAGGACATTATGTTTTATTATGGTAAATTTGAAAAAAAAAAAATATATTCTATACATATTGAACTTTAATAATCTATATAAACCAAATTTAGTTTAAATTAAAGATTTAAACTAAAGCTCAATTAAAATTTAGTTAAATTAGAAAATCTAATTTTATTATATTTATAAACTAATATAATTTTATATTTTCTATATTATATACTATTATATAATAAAATTTTCATACAACAATTTTACTTAAATTTATAAATTTATGGTTAATACAATTGAATTCTCTTTAAATAACATTATAGTGTTCAAATAAAATAAATGATTCATATAATATGAATTTATGTACATAGCTATAATATATGAAATGAATATCGTTTTAGAGACCTTAAGTTATTGATAATTATTATTATAATACATAAATGATTTCTTACAAAAATTCTATTCTACAAATCTTAAATTTCTAAATTTCAATTTTACGTTCTTAAGATGTATTTAAATTTAATTTTAAATTTATTAAAATTAAATATTAAATATTAAATTTAAATTTATTCTTAAAACGTATTCCAAAGATTTGAATTCAAAATTACGAGCATATAAGATTTTATTTTAATTTCGTAATTCTTAAAATATTTTATACACAAAATATGGTTTTATATGATTGATTTAGAACAGATTTTAGTGTACGTTATCAACATACAAATTCTATGTCATCAAAGTCCAATAACAGCATAAGTACACAATTTAGTTTTGCAAGTGTAAATTGTTGCATTTTTGTATTAATGCTGCAGTCAAGCATAGTCTTAAAGCATTCTTATAATTCTGAAATATATTCATTCTCATAATGCTGAAAGCATAGAAGCATGCAATTACAATTGATTTCGAAAATACAAAAAAGGATAAATATTATTAATTTATTATGTACTATTTTAATAAGATTAAAAAAAAAAGAAATATTTTTCTATCAAATAAAAAATTGTGTTCAAATTTATCATAAATTTGCTATTATGTATTTTAAAATACTGAAAACACTTTCATTCATGCATCCAATGCAAAAGGTTTACAATGGTTTATGTTTCCTATTTTTATATTCACTGTCTTTGGCATTATATGAAAAATTTTTGATTGCTAAAAAAAATTAAATTTGTTCTTATTTTTTTTATAAAGAAATATTTTAAAATGAATTGATTTTTTTTTTGGTTTGTTTAATTTTATAGTACACATTTTTTGTTTTAAATTACATACATTTGAAAATTTCATGTTTACCTTTAAATATTTCTTACTATGTAGAATAAAATTTTTATATATTGTGTATTTTTATTGAAAAATATAACTGAAAAAAAAATCACACACGTAATTTCATTCAAATTTATTAAATTGCACATTCGTTTTTTTAAACAATTTTTTTCTTTTTTCTCGTTGAATTTCAATTTCATTTTTTCATTGTTTAATTCAATTTTTATTCAAATAATATCTTATATATAATAAAAAATCATGAATTTAAATATTTAAAAATGAAAAAAAAAAATACAATCAACACAGAATAATAAAATATATTTATATATATACATAATTTTTACTTTTTTTCTTTTCTTTGTTTTTTTTGTATTTTTTTTCTTCTTTGATTTTCATTTCGTTTTCGTGTGTGGCTTTAATATCGTTCGTTGGTTTTTTATTGTAATAGAGTGAGTATTAAAAATAAACCTACAGACTTCGTTCAGAACACAAAAATCAAATCGAATTCAAAACAAAGAAATCCAGTAAGAATATTGAAAGAAAAACATTATAAAAAATTAATTTTTTTTTTTTAAATTTTAAACTCCGAATTAAAAATATTTGAGAAAAATTAATATTATTTTAATGAAAAACAAAAAAAAAAATGAAAAATTTTCCTCCATCTTCCTCTATGAATTAAATTGTAATCCTAAAAAATAAAACCCAATTCCAACTGCCTAACCCCAACCCCTTAAAACAATTTTTGTTTCTTTCATTCTCTATTATATTCTTATATAAAATTGTTTTTTTTTTTTTTAATGAAAAGAAAAAAAAAACCAAGATGAGTACGTTATATTTTTTTTTTGCATGAAAATAATTTTATTTTGAAATCTATATAGTGTCCAATTTGAGTGACGGATCATATGATTATGTTTTTGGTGGTCCAGGCAAGACCCCGCAATTGTCTTCAACACTCAAGCTGACCTCACCGCCAGTAAGACTTAGATCAGACGGTAAGAAGTTTGTTTTTACTTATTTTTGTATCTGTTCAGTATTCTGTCCTTTAATTTATTTATTTTTGTTAATTCATAATAATTTATATTTAAATTTATGTGTTTTTTTTTTGAAAATTTTGATTATTTTAGCTTTCGATATTGGCAAATTTAAATCAATAATAATTAAAAAAATAATTTTTAATTTAAAATTAAAAAACCTAATTTAATATATTTTATTGGATTAATGCTGTTATTTTAATATTCTTTAATCATTAGTTTTAATATTTTTGAAGTAGTTGAAATGAAAAATTTTTTTTAAAATAGAAGCTATTCAATATGAATTATGTAAAATTATCACTAGTTAAACAGAAAAAATTTACAAAACGGTGGTTCTGAAAAAGATTCATAAAAAAAATTCAAAATTCAATGCTTAAAATGTATTCTTTGATTTAAAATAATATTTTACACTGAAAATTTTGTTTTGCTACAAAAAATTTGTTGTAATTACAAGTATGTATTTACAATTAAAGCTATGGATTTAAAAATTTAAAGTTTTCAAAACAATTTTACTTATTCAGTGCCAACAGAATTTTAATTGTAATTTTCTTAAAATTTAAAATATTATTGCGTTAGATTGTCAAAAATATCACATTATAATCTTAAAAATTAGGATTACAATATCGGCATTATAACCAATTACATTATTTTTATTATATTTCTTTACTAAATACAAAATTTTTATGTTTAAACTGAAATTTCATTTGAAATCATAAGATTTGATAAATAAAAATATTATTTTTGCCATAATTTAAAATATTTATTATTAAAAAACTGTTTAAAGTTAAATAAATAAAAATTAATAATTATTTAAATAATAATTTTTTTTTTAATTTTTATATTTTGTGCCAGAAGGACCACATCATCATGGTCATGGAAATTTTCATTTAGAAGATGGAAAATTTTATCGTCATTCGTTCAGTTATGTCCATAAAAGGTCACGACCCGTAACCGAACGAGAATATCGTTCATCAAGTTCAAAACGTGGTAGTCGCGGGGAAGATGAAGAAACTTTGCGGCAATTATTACTCGAGTATGTAAAAATTATTTCAATTATTTTTCTCTATATATGTATTTTTTTTTTCTTTATAAAAAAAAATTTTTTTTTCCAACAATTTGTTTTTGTGACAGAAACAAAATAATAAGCAAATAATATTGCTTTTTTTTTTTTCTTTAATAAAATATATTAAAAATAATTAATTAAAAAAAAAAAGTAAAAAAAAATAAATATAATATTTATACACCTTTTTCATTTAATTAACAAAAAAAGAAATTAAGTAGAAAACTATGTTTTTTTTATTTTCTTTGTTTTGGGTTTTTTCTTTTTTGTTTTTGGTTTTGTCTTTTGATTGAATAAATTTTGTTGAATATTTTGGAAATAAAAGAAAAAAAAAACAGAAAATTCATTCATAAAATTCTTTGTAAGTCCTGCATGTATATATTGAAATGAAATTTTAATTTAAAAAATGTTCAGTTTTATAAACAAATCGAAAACGAATGGAAAATGGAGTAGTATAAAAAAAGCATTTGTACAATTAAATTAATAATTTGTTTACAGTTTCTGTCATTTCTTATATTTAATAATAAATTTTAATTAATGTAGGTTTACTACGTAAAATCTGTATTTATACAATTAAATATTAAAATAATATTTATTAAATAATTGTAGGAAGGTGATTGTATCTATAAAAACGTTGTTCTTTTCTCTCATTTGAAATATTTCTTAATATTAGAATACGTAATATCATATAACAAACCTCATAAGGTTATGTTACCAGTACTGAATAATATTTTTAATATTCATTAAAATTTCTTATTAATATTTTACTATTACAAGTTTCTTAAAGTTTTTAAAACATTACAAATGTCTCCCTCTTTTTCTAATTAATACAATTTAAATACTTTTTAAAATATAAAAAAAACGATATTACACTATTCATATTATAAATTCAGAATAGAAATTATTAAAAAAAAAAAAAACTATGTAACATAAATTACAGTGAATGGAAAAATATTTATGATTATAACAATTTTACAAACTTATTATTAATAGTCATTTTATCTATTATATCAATAGCCAAATTTTTATATTGTATCATATTATAAAATACAATATTATACTACCAAAATCAATATTGATTTCTTTCCCGCTTACAACAATTTCAAAATATAATTTTCGAACAGCTTTAGTCATACAACATAATTATATGTTATGTATATAATTATTTATTATCTATCATGTTACCCAAAGTTCATGATTGAAGAGCATATAGAAATTGCAAAAAATATTCTTAAAATTTCAATTTTATTTAACACTTCTTATTATGTATATTGAATTTTATTTTAATAAAGAAAAAAACATAAAAAAATTACTATACAAAATTCATAAAGTTTTCTATATGTATTCCAAAATTCATATACCTTTTAATCTCATCGTAAAAATCATTCATTCATATTTTGTTAGTCGCCTCACTTAATGTGATGGAATATAAAACAAAAATATTTTGATTTTCATTATAGAATTTCAAGTTTCAAAATTGATTTCTTTCAGAAAATTATAAAAATTTTTTGAATAACGTCAAGTAATGCGATTAACAAAGTGTTTGATTGTCTTATATAAAAATTTTTGATTTTGAAATACGATCAAATAGTTTAATTCAAAAATATATTTATTTAATATTTCTAAATTTAAAACTTAACTATCCATTTAAATGAATAATTATGTATTTTGAAGAAATTTGAGTTATTAAAAATCTATGATTACAAAAAATAATAAAAAGCATGCTAAAGGATTTTGTTTTACTAACATTTAATATATAAATATATATTGGAGTATAAAGTTGTTGAGTCTTTTAATTTGTATACATATACAGTAGAAAATATTAAAGTAGTCTTGTTTTTTTTTTGTATTTTAAAACCGCTTATTATTACTATCATTTATTATTTTTCATAATATAATAGTTGAATTTTAAATTCGAATTTTTTATTACTTTTTTTTTACGAAAAAAATTAATATAAAAAAAAACTGATATATAGGGAACATGAATGCTATATTGAGTAAGTCCATTTTAAATAAAAATTAATTAAATATTAATAATAATAAAAAAAAATAATTAACAAAATATTAGATAATTGCTTCAATAAAATTTAAATATATACTTATATAAATATAAAACAAATATTATGTTTATTTTTTTTTTGTTGTTTATAAAAATGATCACGAAATTCAAATCAAAAATAAAAATTGTAAATTCAATTATTTGTTTTTTATATTTTACCCCTCTAAAAATAATATATACATATATGCAATTTTGTAGGTGAATTTCCTAATATTATTAAACGTGTAAATTGAAATTATTCTATAAAAATATTAGCCTTTTTCTTTTTTTTAATTGAAAAACTAAAATAATATAAATAAAAAGCAAAATTTTCGGTGCACTTATGTAACAGCAGATTGAATACCATGATTTTTTTTTTTTTGTAATTTAGTTGTGCAAATTATAATTGATTACGTGATATTGTATGACACTTAAATATAAAAAAATTATTGATTGTATTTTTCATTTTCTTGCTTTTTTTTTAATCTTAAATTATAATTCATTTTATTTTTATATTGGGTGTACATTATTATTTTAACGTAAATTTATAATAATTTGACTTAATTAAATTTTTGAAAAAAAAAAAAATTAAAATGGTAGTTTTACAGTATCGAAATAAGGTTTAGTTTAAAGTAAATTATTTTATAACCAGTTTTTGTAGATATTATAAAAACAATATTATTAAAGAAATAAAAAAAAATGAGAGTTATTGAATTTGAAAATGAATCTGCATTTCTTATATAATTTTTTCTTAATTCCCTTTTCTTCATTTCAAAAACTATAATTATTTTTACAAAATAATAATTTTTATTATTTTGATTAGGCCTTTTCTTCATTTCAAAAACTATAATTATTTTTACAAAATAATAATTTTTATTATTTTGATTAGGCTTCTATTCATATTATAAATATTTATCATTATACATAGTATAAAAAATATAATGAATCAAACAATTTTAAATTTATATAATATTCATAATTTTTGAAAAAAAATTTAATACTAATGCTATGCATAAGTACTTCAATAATTTAATTTCAATCGTATATGAAAAATCAATTAACTAATAATTAAATAATCTTGTATAATTTTTACTATTTTCAATTGCAAACATGAAAATTAATTTAAAAAAATTTATATATATAATATTTTTTATACAGGGAACTTTAATTTATTAATTATATTAAATATTTATAGTTGAATTAAATATATGAATTTATTATTGATGAATGATAGTCCAAAAAAAACAAGTTCAAATTCAAATAGCCCAAAAAACAAACAGAAATTCAATTGATATTCTTCGTAATTTTCGTTTGCCTCAAAAATTTTCGTCACGTTTTCCTAAAAAAAAAAAAATTAAAAAAATCAAATGTAATATGTACTTTTGTTTTTTTTTTATATTTAAATGTTAAAAAAATTTTATGTTAGAAAAATTTATTATTTTGTTTTTGTTTTTTATTAAATTTATTATATCTGAAAAGTGTTTTTTTATATGATACAAGAGAAATATTATTATATAATAAGTATAAAGTTATAAAATAGAAAAGAAGACTTGAATAATCATCCAAATTTTTTTTACTTATATGTATATATGTATATATGCTGTATATATGTGTATATGTACATATATATATAAAATATCTAAAATATTTTTCTCCACTTGTATTTTTGTTTTTTCCCTTTTTATTTTTTTTTAGATAAAATTGCAAAAAATGATGTGCACAATAAATTCCAAATAAATTTTTTAACAGGGCAATTAAAATTTGAAAATATGGGCATAAGACATTCACCAACATTTTATATAAAATAGAAAATAAAAAAGTAAATAACGTTTATGTACACACATATAAAATAAAGATATGAAATAATCAATTAATATATGACAATTTAAAATTTAAATGAAAAATTTAAAAAACAAAAATAATTTTAAATTATGAGAAAAAAAAGAAAATGTGGACTAAATGCGTGACATTTCTTTAATTTTATATTGAATATAATCTTTAAAAATATTGAAAAAAAAACTAAATGAATTAAGATCCGAAAATATAAAAAAAAAAATTCAACGCAAGTGTGATTTTAATTTAATTTTACTTTTATTTTAATTTTTATTTTTAATTATAATTAAATGAAACATAAAAATTTTAACATTTGTAAATCGATTATTATATAATACAAAGAAAAATTAATATCTTTTTGTTTTATTGAAGATTTTTAAAATAACATAGTGAAGAAAAACATTTTAAAATTATTAAAATTTAAAAAAAAAAAACAATATTTATATAATAAATTATAATCTTAATAATAAAAGAAATTTTTATACTTTTATAAAATTAATAAAATTTAAATTATTTTAAAATTAATACAATATACATATTATATATTACAATAATATTAAAAAAAAAACCAAATTATATTAATAATAATAAATTACATAAAAAAGCAAAGTTACTGGGTTTTCATAAATTTTTAAGGAATAAATAGAAAATTATTTTAAACAGAAAAAAAAAAACAAAAATTTTTAATATAAATTTCTTGTTTGTTAACAAAAATTAATATTTTAATATTTATATAATTAATTTAAATTATAAATAAAATATTTAATTATAAAAGCAAAAAATAAATTTTAAGCAAAAAAAAAACTTCTTTCTTAAAAAAATTTTTTTATTAAATTCGTATAAGATTTTAAATTTAAAGTATAACAAAGTAAAAAAAAATAAATTAATTCATTGCCAAAATGATGGATGTTATGCCTCCAAGGTATATTTAAAAAAAAATTTCTCTTTTTTAAATATTTATAAAACAACTCATATTCTAAACTTAAACATATTATGTATAAAAATATATTATTGTTTGTTTTACTTTTTGTTAATCAATATTTATTGTTTTTATTTAAATATTACAATATAATATAAACATACTTTATATCAATATTCTTAT